AACGATTCAGCTTAATTTATTCTTGGAATACATGTATAAATTCTTTTCAAAAATGCATTGAACAAAAAGATATAGGCACATGAAATACGAAAAGGTCCCTAGGGACCTTCTCACAAATCGAAGGGTTAACAAAGTTACCTCCGGGTAAGTGGGTGTTTAAAACCAAAGTTGACGCTTATGGCAAACTCATCCGTCGAAAAGCAAGATTAGTGGCCAGAGGGTTTTGTCAAAAAAAAAGGCGTAAACTACGAAGAAACGTTTGACGATGTAGTCCGATATACCTCTTTGCACTTATTGCATTGGTTTAACGCGCAGTGAGGTGGATTCGTGTGCATGGTTGCCGCACGCCAACATTTTTTTCTACCAAAATCTCTTAAGAAAAGTTACCAAAAGTTACCAAATCTTCACTACCAAAATTTTCACTTCTGCACTGAGAAAAAATATACTGAATAAAACATTCAGTAAGAATCTGTGCACTTATGTAATAAATTCAATATTTTTATAATTTGTCAATTTTTGATTATTTATCAAGAGCTCTCAGTTCTAGCACAGCAGTTCAAATCTATTTTCTAAATAAATTATCAAGATTGAAAATCCTATTGACAATTATAATATTTTTTTTTATTAGGAAATACTTTTCTATCAACTAATTACTGCATGTGCCGATATTCTCATTTTCGTTGTTCGTCTTTTCGACAGCGTAGGAGTATGATGTAATGTGGAACGATTTTCCGTCATCCCTTGCCAAATTTGGTTTGGAGACAAAACCGGTTTCCGCGTTGTGCCATCTTCAGTGTCATTTTTCGTTCGGAATGTGCCGATATTTGAACCTGCGACTCACGGAATAATAGCACCGGTCCACAAAAAAAGTTGCGGGTGCTTTTAACTGTCCTTTTGACGCGTATAAAATTTCGAGTAAATTGCGATAATTGCTAATTTTTTGCTATTTTTTTCGGTATGTACTGTACATGTTAAACGGACCTCAGATTCGGATCCAGTGGGTCGAAATACATTCGGTAGGTGGGTCTGGTAAAAAGCCCGCGACATTTTTTTTTGTGTGCCGGAAAATTACCAGATTGCCGAATTTTTATACCATTTGTACTGAACTACTGTCGCAAACAGTATTTCCAGTGTTAAAATGTGAGATCGCAAAAATTCGATGGTTGTTTTAGAAGTGCAACCCGTAGTGCTGCCACTGCAATTCAAATATTTCCAGTATTCGAATATGAGATGACTCTAATTTTATCGAAGTAATTTTGTAGAAGTGTCAGTAGTGCTGCTACTGAAACTCGAAGGGTTTTTATAATTACGCACATGAAAAACATAATTAATTTCTTTCTTGTAATAGATGTTTGGCTGCAAAAGTTACCAAAATGAAATAAAAGTTACCAAGTTACCAAACCGCTTAAAAGTTACCAATTTTGGTAGAAAGTTGCCAATTGTGCCAACCATGTTCGCGTGTTTATTATCGCAACTCTGGCAACGACCTGTTGTTTGTGGCCGTTTACGTCGACGACGTATTATTATTCGCAAGTAATACGGAAATCCTGAATGAACTGAAAGCACAGCTATCATCGAGATTTATAATGAAGGATATTGGCGAAGTTTCATCAGTTCTTGGCATACGTGTAACAAAAGATGAACTGAAAGGCATGATAGCAATCGATCAATCGCAATACATTGAGGGTATGCTGGAACGTTTTAGTATGGCTGACTGCAACCCAGTGGCGACACCAATAGACTTAAATCAAAATTTAAGCTCAAATATGTGTCCAACTAACGAAATCGAAAAACATGGAATGGCGAAAGTCCCATATATGCAAGCGATTGGGTGCTTATTGTTTGCTTCACAAATTACGCGCTCTCACATATGTTTCGCCGTGAATCTATTAAGCCGTTTTTCTACCAACCCTGGCAAAGCGCACTGGACTGCAATCAAGCGTGTAATGCGTTACTTAAAGGTTACAATGCTTTATGGTCTTGTTTTCAACAAAGAAGCGAGTGACATAACGGGCTTTTGCGACGCAGACTGGGGTAGCGACTTAGACGAAAAGCGTTCGACGACAGGCTACATATTTCAATTCCAAGGAAGTCCTATTTCTTGGTGTACCCGCCGGCAACGAACAGTTGCGCTCTCATCGATTGAAGCCGAATTCATGTCTTTGACTGCAGCAATTCAAGAAGCGACAGTGGCTACCGCGACTACAACACTAGCTGACACCAAGTGCAACTAAAACGTTCGAACTTTATTGCGACAATAAAAGTGCCATACAATTCGCATTAATAATTCCTACTCGGCTCGTACCAAACATGTAGACATAAAGAACAAATTCATTCGTCAAAGCCTAGAGAGCGGCACACTCAAGTTATCTTATGTACCAACCACCGACATGCTGGAAGATATTTTGACAAAAGGCGTTCCTAAAGCTTGGTTTGAAAAATATTAACTAACATCAGTTTTTTTTTGTAAAATTCACTTTTTATTCAATGATATTATAATTTAAGGCATTAATGCTTTTTCTATAAGAATGTTTTGAAATCTCATTTTGTGTGATCTACTTTATACTAAAGTGTTGTTCAGGAAGAGTGATGAAATTAAATATTGAACAACCTTTCTTTGAATACGCTTAAATACCACTCTGTATATCCAATCGTTTTTTTAATACTTCTACGTTCATCAAATGTCAGAAATATAATTTCACTTCCGTTTTGCATACCAAAAGGACTGGTCGTTTTTATTAATCACACTGTGTAAGAAACTAATAACATAATATTACTGCCCTGTCTTTCCAAAGTTTTCGGAAAAGTACTACTATCAAAGATATCTCCCTTTCTCCATGAACGCAATTTTATACCAGCACACTAATTTGGCTTCCGAGAAAAACATGGTACAATTGAAAAAGTTAATCGAATTACAAATGAAATCAGAACGGAATTTGAGCTCAGAGAGCACTGCTCTGCAATTTTTCTCGATGTGGCACAAGCATTCGACAAAGTGTGGCACGACGGTCTTATATATAAAATTAAATAATTGTTACCGCCGAACTTCCACAAAATACCAGGGTTCAGAAAAATTCGTTTTCAAATGATTCAAATTAATTCATTTCATTTGTATTTGCGATCGGTGAACGAATTTTATAACAACCATTTGTTTTCGTTGCCTGGCGACGATTGTTTTCTTTTTTTGTTTTCATTCGGAAGAATGTATTTTTTAATTTTGTTTGCGTTCTCATTAACTTCAAAGGTAATTATATTGTTTTCATTCGTTATATACGAATGAATATGAACTGACTCATTCGCTCTCTGCCGCAAACATTTGCCCGAATTTATCCCTATTTAATTAATTAATCCCAACGGCTTTTTACCCTCCATTCCCGCCCAACCGACACGAGGGGCGCATTCCGCATGACGTACGGAACCTTTTTTTTTTTTTTTGTTTTTAGTTTTTTCGTGCCGAGTAGCGGAAACAGGAGTTTGTTAAGTGTCGAGATCTAAAACTATTCAGCTACATAATCAAATTCATCAGCTGATTGGATATGCTAAAGATAGTATTTCAATTATTGAGAGTGGAAATAATAGTTTTCTTTATGGTAAAAATCGAGTCCGATACGTCAAACGTGCTGGAATGACAGTTAAAATCTTGACATAAACCACGGAATGATTCGTTTAGTTCAAAATTAGTTTTGCATGGCTTTAAAAATAGAGGTCGAAAGTGTCTTGACACTCGAGAAGGAACATTAAAATTTACCTCAGCCAGGAGGGCCGGGCTATTAATCAAGCCTGTCATTAATTTTACGATAAATATTATACCCAGCATTTCTCTACGACTTGCGAGTGTAGGCAAATTTATGAGCTTTAGACGACTTGGTTAAGGGGGGAGATTGTAATCTGAATCCCAGTTAAAATTACGCAATGCAAAAAGCAAGAATTGTTTTTGAATTGATTCAATCCTTTCTGAATGAACTTGGTAGCGGGGATTCCAAACAATAGATCCGTATTCTAGTATAGGTCTAACTAAACTGGTAAAAAAGAGCTTTTGTAACATAAGGATCTTTGAACTCTTTTGACCATCGCCTTACAAATGCAAAAACGCCTTTGGCTTTATTGACTGTAACATTAATATGATGGTTGAAATTGAGTTTGGAATCCATTGTGATACCAAGATCGACAAAATTGGATACCTGCTCCAGATTATAATTTGATATTGAATAAACAGCTGGTTGAACAGCCCTCCGAGAGAAACACATAACTTTACATTTTTGAAGGTTTAGTGGCATATAGTTTGTATTACACCAACTAACCACGTTGTTCAGATCCGCTTGTAACAAAGACCTTTCTTCGATAGAGGACAATGTTTTAAAAAGTTTCACATCATCGGCATACATTAAAATTTTTTAATGTTTTATTATAGAAGAAATATCATTAATGAATATCAGGAACAGAATCGGACCAAGGTGGCTTCCCTGAGGAACTCCTGAAGAAACTTTAATGATGTTGGAAGAACAATTATTAACAATAACTCTTTGTGTTCTATCAGAGAGGTAAGATGAGATCCATTGAAGAAGACTGGGCTGAAAGCCGATTAGGTCGAGTTTACGGATGAGTAACGAGTGACATACTTTGTCAAAAGCTTTACTGAAATCGCTGTAAATTACGTCGGTATGAGCATTTTCTCTAAAACCGTTTGAGACATGAGTTGTAAACTCCAATAAATTAGTCATAGTAGATTTTCCTTTAGAAAACCCGTGTTGAGATTGTGTAATTGAAGAAGATATAGAATATGTAAGCTGGTTAACAACAATTGCTTCGAATAATTTGGGGATAGCGGAGAGTTTCGCTATGCCTCGATAGTTTTCTATAGACGACCTGCTGCCGTTATTGTGAAGTGGTATTATGAAAGACTCCTTCCAGGCTGACGGAAAAACGCCATGTTTAAGTGACAAATTGAATAGAGTTGTTAAAGGCTCGCAGATGTTCTCAGCGCAGTTTTTAAGAAAACAGGTCGGATTATGATCAGGTCCAGGCCTAAATGACGCTTTTAAGGTTTTTAAAGAGTGTAAAACTTCATCGGAAGATATTACTGGAATATAAGCAGAGTTGATTGGACAAAGCTCGTACGGATAGTCTTCACTTATAGGGAAGTCTACAGAATAATTGGACCTAAAGAACCGAGCAAACATGTTGGCAATGAGTTGGCTGTCGCTAGATACAGTGTTGCGATAATGCATAGCGGACGGAAAACCATGTGACTTACGCTTTGAATTTACGAAACCATAAAATGATTTAGGATTGTTAATTAAATTCTTCTTAATTTTACATAAATATGAATTATAACAATTCTTATTTAATGCAAAGTAGCTATGCCGCAAAAGTGAGTACCTTAGGTAATCACTGTGTAAGCCCGTTCTTTTATACAGTTTAAAAGAGTGCGACTTTTTATTTTTCAATTTTTTAAGCTCTTTAGTGAACCATAATTGTATTGGTTCTTCAAGCGATGTATGTATGTAAATATAAGTTGAAGAAAATTTGTTTATTTTAATTCCCTTGTTTTCAAAGCCCAGTTATTATAAATACATATTTAGATATGTATAGGGTGAGTTACAAGTTGCATGCTACTTTGTATTTGTAAAATATTGTGTATACATTTCGCAGCAATACAAAACAACATGCAATTAGGAACTCACCCATAATTATGTACACTAGATAACAAATTTTCAAAAAAGTTCCAAGCTCTGGCATTTGACCATCATTTCATATTTAAAAATTTCCGCTGAACCCAAGTATTAAGTAAGATATTAAGATAGTAGAGCAGTTTCCGAGATATAGCCAATTTTCGGTAATTTTAAATTATATACAACTTTCATAATAACGTCTACGAAAATACACTTCTCCGTATGAAAGCAAAATACTATTTTGAAAATAGCTGAGCATAGATCAACAAAGGTTCCTTTTGATGTTTACTCGCATATTGCGAATGAATAGAAGAAGGAATGAATTTGAATCATTTGCGAACGAATTTTTTTTTTTTGTATTGAATATATCGTAGTTATATGACAAACATTTTTAATTTGTTCGTATTTTTATTTGCTCAAAATGGTTGCGCTTGTGCTCTCTAGCTGGAATGATAAAAAGAATTTTTTGTAATCGAGAATTTTAAAAAGCTTTCAATTCGAGCCAAATGTTTGCTGTAAAGAATTATTTTTGAATAGAAATAATATTTTAAATATTCTCCGTATCCTGCAAAATACTTGATTCATACATATCTAACAGAAAATTTGCTGTAAAAGTATCTAATTAAACTTCAGAAGACAAGTCGATAATGGCTGGCGTTCCTCAAGGTAGTGTACTCGGGCCTATGCTGCATATCATCTACACTCCAGATATTCCAACTAGCAAGGATATACTAACATCCACCTTCGCTGATGATGCCTTAGTAAGTCGTAATAAATGTCCCAATAGAGCTTCAAGAGTATTAGAGGAACATTTACTACACATAGAAGAATGGCGGGCAAATTGGCGCATAAAAGTCAACGAACAGAAGTGTAAACATACAACATTTTCACTCAGACCGCAACTATGCCCCTCAATCAAATTAAATAATGTCCATATTCCACAAGCCAATGAGGTGAGGGATACACTTAGATAGGAGACTAACTTGGCGCAAACACATATCAACCAAGATTACACAAATGAAGCTAAAGTCAGCTAGCGTGAACTTATAAGCACAGTAAATCAAAAATGAAACTAGATTATGAAGTACTTACAGTCATTAAGCCTATATAGATGTATAGTATTCCTCTGTGGGGTACGAACTGTGCAACCAACATTGACAGGATCCAAAGATTCCAATCTAAAACGCTAAGGGCCTTAACGGGAGCACCGTGGTATGTCTGCAATGAAAATATATATAGGGGCCTTGGTATACCGATGGTTTAATCTGTAATCGACAGCAGCAGAGACGAATATAAAATAAAATTGCGTAACCACCCAAATCCACTGGAAAGTGGCCTGCGCAACACAACAACCCAGTGGGAAAATGTAATGTATAGTAATCGAAATAATAATCAGTGAAACAACCCTCTTCACATTCGAAAATGCATCTTTTTTCCCAAGGCGATGTCCTAAGAAAAGTGGGGCATTCAATTACCTAGTATTGAGAAATGAATGTGTTTTCATATGAAATTTTTGGAACTTCTTGAATACATTAGAATGCTGATTACATAGTTAGAAGTAA